GTTTCTGAGATGTGGGTAATCTGCAGGTTCTGGTCACTTTGCTGTCTCTCCCAGCCAATAGTGTTCTCTGGTCTGGTCTACCCTGTACTTAGTGGAGTCACTTCCCCCCCCCCCCCCGTCTCTGCAGTTGAATAACGACACAGGCTATGGTCTTGTGGGCCCTCCTGGACACCCTAATTGATAACTTGACACAAGCTAGAATCTCCTAGGATCTGCTACCCCTTTCTGCTGTCATTGGCAGCTCTGGTCCCTTAAGTGGAAGACTTTATTATGTATGCAGTGTTCTGCCTGCTTGTATGCCTGCAAGCCAGAAGAAGGCACCAGGCCTTATTATAGATGGTTGTGAGCCACCAAGTAGGCTGGGAATTGAACTCAGGACTTCTGGAAGAGCAGTAAGTGCTCTTAACCTCTGAGCCATCTCTCCAGCCCTGGGTGGAGGACTTTGGGAGTTTTATTTATGTGTGTGAGTGTGTCTGCGTGTGCTATGCTGCCAAAGGGGGAGCCAGGGGCAGTGTAGCTTGGGCTGTTGGAGCACACTCTCAGGCATGGTGCCTCCTCAGGCTCCTTTGTGGTGCTGTGAGACCTCTGGTGAAGTATGTGAGACAGGCTGGGTAGAGATGGGGATACTGCTGACCTGGTTCACTGGTGTGGCCTGTCTTCTACAGGACTTCAATGGATACCCAAACACACTCACTGAGCATGGTGACATTCCCATAGGATGTAGTAGGTGTGGAAGGGTGTAGTTACAGAACATTGTGAGGCAGCGTTTGGTGCTGGCTCTGAACTGAGCTGGAGATCTTTAGCCCCCAGGGCTTAGGTTTTGAACTGTGTAAGAGCAGAGAACTGAGCGCGAGACATGCTCACTGCCATGTGTCTCTGCTCTTGACCGAGTCGTGGCCCTTAACTCTGCCTTCACTTTTCCTCTTTTTGGACTGAAGCCAGATAGCCTTTCTCTCTCTAGTTGCTTTTCTGCCTGAGTATTTTACCATGGGAACAGAAATGAAAGCTAGAACACTGACCATTGATTCAGCTTCTGTCCCCCCAGCTCTTCCTCCCTGGAGTTTCTTACTCCAGAAAGGAGTGTGCTTGTGTGGGACATGTTTTCCTTCCAGGCTTTCACTGTGGCTCCAGGCAGCTCAAAGCCGATTCCCAGCTTCTGGCAGGATCTGCCCATGAGGAACACTGGGGTTGTAGGCACTAAGCAGGGTCGCTCCCAAATAGGGCAGCTGCTTTGGGCACCAATGGTCTATGGCTCCCAACTCCTATCTGTGCAGCTCCAGCCAGGGCTGTGTCAGTCATGGGGACTCACTCTGGTCTCTTCTCTCTCCAGCAAATGGAAAGAATCCTGAAGAAGGCATCAAAAACCCACAAACAGAGAGTGGAGGTGAGCCCTGTGCCTGTCGGCAGGCTGAGCCGTGGAGGGAGCCAGAGCCCAGACAGTGCAGCCTGGACTGTTGGAGCCCGCCCTTAGGCATGGCTTGTTTTGGGGTGCTGTGAGACCTGTGGTGGAGTGTGTGGGATGGGCTGGTGCAGGTGGGGTACTGCCCATCTGCTTCACGCTGGTGTGGCCTGTCTTCCACAGGACTTCAACCGGCACCTGGACACACTCACCGAGCACTATGACATCCCCAAAGTCAGCTGGACCAAGTAACCTGCCCCTGGTGCAAAAGGCAGACGGCCAGGCTGACTGTGCTTTCCTTCGTGTTCTCTAGAATGTTTTACACCTGGCTGGTGCATCTGCTGAGACCGGGCTTTCTGAGACTTGATTAAAGTCAGGGTGTCCTTTCACTGGGTTTTGGTTTTTGGGTAGTTCTCTTTCCTGGTTGGACAACAACAATGTGGATTGACATGCTGAGGTAATTTCTGGGTGAAGGCCATGGAAGGATGGTCCCTTTCCCATCCCCATTGTGTCGTCTGTCTTCACTTACACCACAATGCTAGGACAGGAAGCTCCTTGTGGACCGCCACAGAGATTCCCACAGTGCTGCTCCATTTTGGGCCACCTGGACATCAGATTGCATCTGCATCTGCAAGGCCACATATGAAGCAAGAGCAGGACACAGGACATGGGTTCCCATCACATAGCCTGTCCCACCGTTCACCCAGTGGACTGCCACGGCAGATGTTGCTAATCTCAGTTCTCAATGATGGCACCTGGTTTCTAAGTGTGTGGCATGTGGCATAAGCCTGGTTGGCATTCCTAGTCTAAGGACACCAAATGCCAGACGGGGCCAGGGCAAAGTGCCAGCAGACATGGTGTAGCGGTGCAGATGCTGCAGAGCTGTGGCGTCTGAGGGTCTAGGTGGACCACTTGGGTTTCTGCACACACTCTTGAGAGATGCAGCTTCTGTTGCCATGGATACTGAAAGAATAACAGATCAGTGGAGCTGACATGTATGGAATAAAGCAAATACCACTCATGTCGTGTGAATGTCATCTGTACCGGCTGTCCATCACAGGGACACCTTTCCATTCTGCCTGTGTCCCTGAAGAATGAAGAATGCACAGTGAAAAACCAGTTCAGTGTGGGAAAAATGAGATGCTTTTGTATTTTAAAGGTGTATGTGTGTATATATACATGTGCATATTATAAAGTGCGTTGGATTCCTGCACGTGTGCATGTGCACATGAGAGGAGAACTTGAAGGACTGACTCCTTCCACCATGTGGATCCTGGGATCAGATCCAACTCAGGCTGTGAGCTTGGCTGCACGTGACTTTACCCACTGAGCTGTCACAGTCGAGATGGCACATTTATTCCACCTGTGTTCACACCTGAGGGAGATGGTGTGTGCATACCTTGTCTCACGTGTTTAGGACCATTTTGGATTTGGGGATCTTTCCAGATTTGGGGAATGGGGAGCACAGTGATTTTTGTAATGTGTAATGAGATGTTGCAGTGACTGTCACAGGTTTCCATACATTTGATTTCTGTTTCATTTGCCCCTCTGCACATAGCCTAAAGTCGTTTTATATTAATTTTTTCTGTCTTTGAACATAGTATATAAAATACACAGTCTTTTTTTTTTTTTTTTTTTGGTTTTTCGAGACAGGGTTTCTCTGTGTAGCCCTGGCTGTCCTGGAACTCACTCTGTAGACCAGGCTGGCCTCGAACTCAGAAATCCGCCTGCCTCTGCCTCCCAAGTGCTGGGATTAAAGGCGTGCGCCACCACCGCCCGGCTTAAAATACACAGTCTTTTGAAGAATTTTATACATGAAGCAGATGTATGAGATTTACTTGTTTGGGGGTTTTTGTTTGATTTGGAGCATGGTTGAGGGAGAGGTGAGACAGGGTCTCACCATGCAACCCTGGCTGTCCTGAAACACTGTGTAGACCAAGCTATTGGGTCCTCTTGCTTCTGCCTCTGGAGTGCTAGGATTGAAGGCATTCACCACCATGCCCTTCTTTGCTTCTTTTACCTAGGCACTAACCCAGGCTGCCAACCCGCAGCCCTACCTTGAGGTTGGTAAGATGGCCTGGCAGGAGCAGTCCTAAAGACCTAAGGTCAACTCCCAGGGTCCACAAGGTGGAAGGAGAGAGCTGACTCACAAAGTGTCCTCTGAACTCCACATGCTCATACACAATACACACAATAAATATCTAAAGAAAAAGCAAGGGAGGGGTAATAAGGAAATGGGCTAATATGATCAAAATACAAAATATTACATGTATTAAAGTGGCAAAGAATAAATTAAAATTTTTTAGACTAGGTCTTACTAGATAACTCTGGCTGGCCTGGAATACAGATCTGCCTGCCTCTGCCTTCCAAGTGCTAGGATTATGTGTCCATGTGGGTGTGTATACATGAGTGCAGGTGTCCACAGAGGCCGGAGGAGTCAGATCATCTGAACAGGCAGCTGTGAGGCACCAGATGTAGTGTTGGGAACAATTTGGAGAGATCTCGGTGGTTAAGAATGAATACTGCTGCCCTGGAAAGACGGCTCAGCACTGGCTGCTCTTCCAGAGAGCCTGTGTTCAATTAGCAACAACCACATGGTAGCTCACACATTTATAATGGGATCTGATATCATCTTCTGACATCCAGGTGTACATGCAGATAGAGTACTGATACATTATTTTTTTTTATTTATTTATTATATGTAAGTACACTGTAGCTGTCTTTAGACACCCATATGAGGGCATCAGATCTCATTGTAGATGGTTGTGAGCCACCATGTGGTTGCTGGGATTTGAACTCATGACCTCTAGAAGAGCAGTCAGTGCTCTTAACCGCTGAGCCATCTCACCAGCCCCCCTGATACATTATTTTTAAAAGGGATGAACACTGCTGCTGCCCTAAAAAACAGCAAAAGGGGTGGGGGGGTGAGGAGGACATACAGGTAAAAGCTTTTGCTACCCAAACTGAAGACCTGGGTTTGATATCTGTCTGGGACCCACATGATGGAGAGAGCTGACACCTGCCACTCTTCCTCTGATCTCCCTATGTGTACAGGAACACACAAAGTAAAAAGCCCACGGTGGGTGTTGATGGGTTGGTTTAATCTCTAGATGGGGGAGAGGCGGTTAAGAATGATAGAATTAAAATATAACCAGCCACACTTTGCACTAGGCACAGGCTAAGTTACACACGTGCTACCCTGAGTTCACTGGGGCAAGACCGGGTGGAGCCCATTCAGTTGACAGGTTGACACCGACAGGTGCTTGCTGATAAGGCTTGATTGCCCTTGCGAGACTGACTTAAGAGCCACCTAACAGCGAGTCACAGCCGGTGACGGGATATTAGTTTACTAGACTGCCGAAAGCAAGGATCAACTCCAAATCGGTTTCGCTTCCAGCGTCTTTTCACAGCAACCGGTTTGGAAGCGTCCACCTACATTCCTCAGCTAGTCCTTCAGCTACAAGGAGTAATGACAAAGCTGTCTCGCCCAGGTCCTCCAGGTCCGGCACGTCAGGAAGGCCACGCCCCCTGGGACTTACTTCCGGCCCGTTTGTGCTACGGGTGAAAAATACAGCCAAAAAGTTCGTACTGCGCCTGCACTGATTCCGTTGTGCGCCTGCGCACTTGTGGCTCCCTTCAGACCGGACATAACGGTCCACGCGCTGCTTCATGGACCGGAAGTAGAGGGGAAGTGTCGCGGGGCGCTCCGGGCCTTGCTGAACGCCGGCAGTTCCTGCCGTTGCCGCCGCCCTCGGCTACTGCCGAGGCCTTCCAAAGCCGCCATGTCCGCCAGCGCCGTCTACGTACTGGACCTGAAGGGCAAGGTACTGAAGGGCTCTCCACCCTCCGCGTTGCCAAGCAACCACCGGGCCCTCGCCCTGTCGGGACCCACCCTGTTGCTAGGCAACTGGCCGACCAGCCCAGCTAGGGCGTCAGGCAGGCGGGGCAGCCTCTCTTGCCAGCCCTGCCCTGTTGCTAGGAAACGGGCGGTGGTCTTCTTTCCGCGAGTCCCTCCCCATTGCAAGCTAACTTGGTGGGGTGCGGTTACTAGGTAACTGTCCGCTTTGCTCCTTTCCCTCCTTGTGCGCCTGGGTACTGGACTCTACCCTCTCCTGTGGACCCCTGTAGCGGGACCATGAGAACCTTGGCCAGAGGTGTGGCAGGGACTATGGCCTTAGGTCGGCCCCTCGCTCCACAGTGTATATAAGGTTTCAGCGCTCCCTAGAGCAGCTGATCTTCCTGTGACATTAAGAAAAGCGGATAAGAGTGTGGTTTTAGAAGGGGAAACAGACTGCCCAGAGTCACACTGATTACTGGGAAGTAGCCGCCTGGAAGCATCCTCACTAGGCAGGTGCTAAGTCCTGGGCCACCGTGGGTTGGCAGAATCTGTCATAGCTAAACTTAGTCACTTGGAAAAGCACAAATAGATGAATACCTATTAGGGACTAATGGACTAGCAACAGCCCCAGCTGAAGGATCAGGGAGAGCTTTCCTGACTGGGAATAGCAAAGACTGCTGAGACATGAAGGCCCTGGACAGAAAACAGGACCCTGGCATCTTTCCCAGGGTTATCTGAGAAAGAAAACTTCGTGTGTTTCTGTGGGTATACACGTGTGTGGAGGAAGGAGACCCCTGCTACCCTTACATGGGCTCTTGTTAACTGATTGAGCTAGGCTGCCTGACCTTTAAAACACGTGGATCTGCCTGTTTGTGCTTCCCAGGAGAATCTGACTTTTTTCCCCCTCTTGGTTTTATGAGACAAGTTTTTCTCTGTGTAGCTCTGACTGTCCTGGAACTCACTCTATAGATCAGGCTGGCCTTGAACTTAGAGATTGACCTGCCTCTGCCTCCCAAGTGCTTGGATTAAAGGTGTTTGCCACCACTATCTGGTAAGCACCTGGGTATTACCTGGGATTTGGGTATGGAGTTCAGGTCAGATATTTGGAAAACACTTTACAGACTGAGCTGTCTCCCTAGGCTAATGGATGTTTTTGTGGTGCTGAGGATAGAGCCTAAAACAACAAGCTGTCTGACAAGCAGCCACAGTATACTCCTTGCAAAAGCCTCTTCCAGGAAGGCACATTCAGCCTTAAGAAATGGACTGCCATTCTACCTCAGGCCATCAGGGTGGAAGGCAAGTGGCCAGCCTCTTACGTTTGGAAGCTACCAGAACAGGTCCAGCCACAGTAAACAAGTCCAGCATTCATCAGTGAAAGAACATTGATGTCCAGTCTACATGGACAAGCTGGAGTTGTTTCAAAAAGCCCCACCCCCAGCGTTTTCCTTAGTCCCTTGAGTGTGTACCTGCCTTGTACGTCACCCAAGGTCAACAACTGCTGAGTCCCAGGCCTGGGCTTCCTCCACAGCCTTCTGGGAAGCTGGGTAGGGGCAGTGTCCCCTAGGTCTCATGGCATATGATCTGCCCTCCACCCTGGCCTAGAGGTACAATGGGCTGCCTGTCGTGGCTTGTTCCTTTAGCAAACATCTCATTGGCACTAGCAAGTACCCATCCTGGGGTGAGGCTATAGAGCTAGATTTACATGTGGATTCAGCTGATCTCCGCAGCTGAGCTGTGTGATCATAGACAAGCACCTTGGCCTGTCTGAGCCTTGTCTTCCTAATGGATCTGAAGAGTCTTATCTGAGTTACTGAGTATAGATGTGAGACAAGCCAGACTCTAGCAAGGCCCACAGAGCATGGTATTTGGGGTCCACAGGCCTCTTGGCCTAGCAGGAAACACTTGGACCAGCAGCCAAACAGTGGTTTGCCTTCCCTTTGGCATTCAGAGAAGGTTACAAAAGACTTCCAGGCAGAGCAGGCACCTGATGTGGTTCTGAGAAGGTGACAGAGGTCCCAGTTGGCATGTAGAGTGTAGGTCAGCCCATATACTGATGCTGGGACCTTGGGGATCCAATGGGAGGAGGCTCCAGGGCCTCTGCACTTCCAGGGATAAGTCCCCAAGATGGGGTGTGATCAGACCTGCCTCGAAAGCTCCTCAGGGAGGCTGTAGACTTCCCTGCCTCCTTCCAAAATCAAGCCAGACTCATGACAACATGCCAAACTGAGCATCTCATTACCAAGGGATCCCATGTGGCTACTTTTGGCAAATAGGAGGTCCTCCAAGAACACTTGGCTGCTGTCTATTGCTTCCCCAACCACTCCGCAGCTTCCTGGCTTTGCAGTGTGGCCCTGGTGACTTTAGGTCTGGTGTGCAGAGGTACTGCTTCCCTTCCATTCTCTTGATGCTGCTCTTTTGAGTACCGAGAACAAAGCCCCAGGCTTTTCCCTGCTGCTCACAAGGGCCTGTATAGTCTGAATTCTCATACCCTCCCCAGCCCTCCCACCAAGTGCCTTTCCACATGACCCTGGTTCATTCCACTTTAGCCAGTGGGGGACCCTGAAGCAGGTGCCCAGACAACCTGTCTGCTTCTGCCTTGGGACCTTTGTACTTGCATCTGTGGAGAGCTGTGTGGCCTGGCTTCAATTCAAATAGCACCTCCTCCAGGAAGCCTCTCCTGCTTTCCCTAACTGGGATCATATCTAGCCCACCCTACGTTGAGCACACTGCATCTCGTAGCCCATACTGCCTACGGCATGGCATGCAAGTTTATCTGTGCATTCCTTTCTCCTCTGACATTTCCTGAGAAGACACACCAGACTCATTCCACACTGGCTCCTGATGCCCAGAGCAGAGCTGTCTGTTAGACAGAGCTCAGCAAGCTCCAAGGTGTTCTGCTGAGAAGGAAAAGGAGCCAGAGAAAGGATAGTGTGTCACATGCTTTGGTGGAGAGGGTTTGTGAGTGACAGGATGGACTTGGGAAATGGCCAGGATGACCATAAGGCACCCTGGAGGCCCTGGGTCTCAGAGGTGGACAGCACTGCTGCAGGGAAGAGAGTAGGAATGTGAGAGTCACCCCTCCTGTAGGCAGTTGCCCCTGAGCTTTCAGTTGGGGTGGATCAGAGAGAGGCCACCCTGTCTAGCTTCTGTTGAAGATGAGTCCTCTTCTGCTTCGTGGGGAAGGACCATGGGGTGAGAGATGGACAGAGAGAAGGGCTGTCTCAGTGTCTCCCTGTCTCCCTCCGCGGCCACACCGACTCAGGGGTGGCCGACCTCCAGGAGTCTCCCTATTTCTTCAAACCGTGATTGAAGGTTAGACTAGTGAGAAGGTCCCCAGTTGTCCCCAAGTAGCTGGGACAGTGAGAGAACCATGTTGACCTCGGCTACCATGGTAGTAGCTACCACATAGGCTCACTCTGCATGTTTTCTGAGCAAGAAAACAAACCCCTGAGCAGCTCTGGTGAGGTGTACAGTCAGGCCTTCTGGCTGGCTCTGACCAGTCCAGCCCAATCCCTGGGGAAGAAAGTGGGCTTAGAGCTGCCAGGACAGCAGTTCTCAGTGAGCACAGTTGTGCAACCACACAGTAAGTGGGAGTAAGGATGTCTCTGAGATCCTGACCCTGCTCTCTCTGCTGTGTTACCTCAGGCAGGCAGCTCCACCTCTCTGGGCATTGTAATCTGTAAAACTAACCAGCCTACCATATAAGAGATAGCAAGAGGAGTAGAAGAGGGCAAGTGGGAGTCCCTCAGACCGGGTAGGGCATCAGACCCAAAAGCTTACCCAGTGGGCACTATGTCCCCATAAGGCCCAGCAAGGACTCAAAAGGAACCATCTTCACTGCGCTCTCCCAGCTAGGATCAGCAGAGACAGTGCTTTCTGAAGTGCCAGTCCAGCATGGCAGCTCAGGAGAGCTGCGGCACCGCCATGTGGCTAACCAGCCATGCTGACAAGCATTGTCACCAAGTAACCAGGGCCCTCCTCAGCCCTCACCCGCAGCTTCCTCATGGCCCTGACCTGCAGCCACTTCTTCAGGGTCCTCCAGGGAGAACTTCCTGTTTGGTTTCTCTCGCTATGCACAGTTATTCTGAGAGTAGAGCCTACCCTGGGCATACTCATGGCCTGCACTCACATTCTATATCTGCCTTTCACTGACCCTGAATGGTAAATCCTGAGTTTTCAAAAAAATGTGGGGGGAGAGAAGAGGCGAGAGAGATATTGGCAAGTACACAAGTGTACAGGTGGCCCTGGAGGCCAGAAGAAGACATCAGATCCCATAGAGCTGGATTACAAGCAGTTGTCAGCTGCCTAATGTGGATGCTGGGTCCTCTGAAAGAACAGCAACACACTTAAGCAACAAGCCATTTTCCAACTTCTGGGATTTATGTATCTATTTGTTTATTTGGTTCTACACACACACACACACACACACACACTTTTATGTTCATTAGTATTTTGACTGCATGTGTGAGAGTGTCAGAATGCCTGGAACTGGAGTCATAGACAGGTGTAAGCTGCTATATAGGTGCTTAGAATGGAACCCAGGTCCACTGCAAGAGCAGCCAGTGCTCTTCATTGCTAAGCCATCTCTCCAGCCCCTGTTTATTTGGTTTTTGAGACAGGTTTCTCTGTGTAGCCCTGGCCGTCCTTGAACTCGGAGATCTACCTGCCTTTGCCTTCCTGGTGCTGGGATTAAAGGCGTACGCTATCTTGTCCAGAAACCCTAGGATGTTTTTAAAAGACAGGGTCTCACTATGTCTAGTCTGAAACTTACTGTGTAAACTTCCCTGCCTCTGCTTCCAAGTGCTAGGATTAGAGGTGTGCATACTATGTTTGGCAAAGTATTTTTAGCAGGGAAACTGTTTGCTATATACATGTGAAGGTCTGAGTTCAGGAGCATGCTGGCCAGCTAGATTATCCAAGGTGGCAACACACACTGGGGGGAGGGGGGAAAGGAGAGAGAAAGCGAGAGAGAGAGAGGGAGAGAGAGAGAGAGAGAGAGAGAGAGAGAGAGAGAGAGAGAGAGAGAGAGAGAGGTGTTGCATTTGAACTGGGTTTGCTGTCTCTTGCCTATAACCCCAGCACTCTGGAGGCAGAAAGATTGCCATGAGTTGAGGCTAGCCTAGGCTACACAGTGAAATCATTTCAACAAAACAAAAGCCTCAAACATGTTTATTGTCAGAACAGGCTGTCCTTATTCACCACAGCACTGTATTGGAGGGCCCTCAGATTCTGGAATCCTGGAGTCCTGGTCCCTAGCTGTGCAGTGCTTTGGGAAGGTTCAGACCCAGATTCTCCATACATCTGTTGAAAGACATGTCTTTGTCTCTGGTCTGGCTCTATTTAAGATTCAGCCACTGAAGTGTTCATTTATGTGGGCTGACTCACAACTGTCATCCCAGCACTCAGGAGGTAGCAGCAGAAGCAGGAATTCAAGGCTATCCTTGGCTACATAGTGGATTTGAGATGTACCTGGGCTCCTTGGACCCATCTCCACTCCCAGCTCCATTCTGCTTTGAGTGTCCATGGACACACAATTTCTCTGATTTTCTAGGATGAGCCACTGGGTTATACTTAACTCTGGTGTCACTTTCTGAGGAGCCACTAACTTTGCCATTCCACAGTCCCCTTGGATGATGGACAGTGATTCAGATTCTGAGCAAGGACGAAGACCAGGGCAGGCCTATTCCTGTACAAGCCTCAGTGGGATCCCATAAACTTGGACTCCTCGAGGATCAGATGCTCAGGAGAGCCAAGTACATCCCCACAGCAAAACCACTGAGAAGGTCTACATAGAGTGCTCACAGAGCAAAGCTTGTCCCAGTGTCTGTGGGAATAGTCCCTCCTCTCTCTGCCTTCTGCTGCAGGAAGAGCCTTGTGGTGGGACTTCCCTAGGGTGGAAATCAGACTAGCCTTAAGTTGTGTCTTCCACAGATGGTCCCCAACCCTACCTGAGGCACTCAGAGAGGAAGCCACCCCTTCTTTCCTTCCTGATGCAGGTGCTCATCTGCAGGAACTACCGTGGGGATGTGGACATGTCAGAGGTGGAGCACTTCATGCCCATTCTGATGGAGAAGGAGGAGGAGGGCATGCTGTCACCTATCTTGGCCCATGGTGGTGTTCGTTTCATGTGGATTAAGCACAACAACCTGTACCGTATCCCTATGCTGCGGAGTCAGGGCTTGGGGATGACATACCTGCCCACCAGCACAGGACAGCTGGGTGGCTAGAAGGCACAGGCTTAGGGAATACTAAGTATTCCAGAAGCTTCAGCTGTGGAGAGGACGGGAGGGGCACATGGCACAAGTGGGAGCCAACTGGGCCTGAGATATGTTACATGGGGTAGGTCTTTGGAGGAGGTGGGCTGGCTTTCGGTGGTTTTGTGGTCTAGAGACTTCCGGCTGCTGTGTATAGCCACACTGTTAGAGGCAGGAGTGGACAAATGAGGGGAATGGGGTAGGAGTGGGGGTGGGAAGTTGTCATGTGCCCTACATCTCCAGCCCCACTTCAGCATCAAACCAAGTGTGGTGCCAGGTGGAGACTCACCATGGGTGCATCCACCACTTTGGGGCTTTGAGCAGACCTCTGAAAATCTGGCTATGTAGTAAGCAGTGGGGTGCACTAGCTCTTCAGCTGTCGGTCCCCTCAGGGTCAGCACGTAAATGTGTTCATGCGTGTGGCCCCCAACAGGCACAGATACCAACTCTTCCCAGGGACAGGTCTTCCCTTGCAGCTCTTGCCCTGCTCTCACCCAGGCATAGGGTTTTTTCCTGATGTATAATACCATATGTGAACTCCCTTATGGAGTGGGCCTAAATGGAAAAAAAAGAAAAGCCGGGCGGTGGTGGCACATGCCTTTAATCCCAGCACTTGGGAGGCAGAGGCAGGCGGATTTCTGAGTTTGAGGACAGCCTGGTCTACAGAGTGAGTTCCAGGACAGCCTGGGCTACACAGAGAAACCCTGTCTCGAAAAAAAAAAAAATCCAATAGATAGGGTGTTGGTATTACCCATGATATCTGTGCCTCTATTGCACAACCAGGCACAGTCTGCTTAGCATGTGGCATTTTAGCACACAGGGTCTGTAGCTTAGCAGGAATGCTGATGCCTGTTCAACAGCAGCTTTCACAGCCCCTTCTGGCATCTGGTTCTGCCATACAACCAGCAGCAGCAGCCTGCATGGTTCCCGGAGCTTCAGGATTTCCTGGCCAACAGTTGACAGGAGATAGTCTGCTCTTGGCACAGGAATTTTCATCCAACAACCTGATGACCTCTGGGAGTGTCTTTGTCCACCAGTGTAGGGTACCATTTGGATTTAAACTCTTTACCTGTTTTAAGAACCTTTTATTTTATTTTTTATTTTTTAAAAGCTTTCATTTGTAGGGCTAATTTACCTGCGTGTTTGCAGTCCAGAAGAAGGCATTGGATCCCCTGGGACTAGAGTTAAAGCCAATGGTGAGCCACCATGTGGTTGCTGGGAATTGAACTTGGGTCTTCTGGAAGAGCAGCCTGTGCTCTTAACCACTGAGCCATCTCTCCAGCTCTCCATTTTTCCTTTCAATTGTCCGAGCCTCAGCTGGGCTGTAAGGTAGGTAGAGATACCATTACACCTGGCTGTCTTCATCCATGTTAGTGAAGTGGCTGCTTGTCAGCATTGTTCTCCATGGACATCCACACACAACGCCTAGTCGGCTGAGGCCCTTGATGGCAGCTTCCCCTGCTGCTTGCTTGGATGAAAATGCTTGTAAGAGCCCGTGGCTTTGTGTACATTGGTGAGAAAGTGTTCTTCATGTCTCACGGATATCCTACTAAATCTACCTGTCAGTCTCTCCCAGGACAGATTGATTTGTGTATCTGTTGAGGCCATAATCAGGAACAGGCCTAGTGTTTGGAGAACATGCAAAATAGCAGAATATTTCACAGGAAGGCCAGCAGCCTTAGCCATTTTCTAACCTGTGTTGGCTTCCCTATGACCAGACTTTAGGTGGACCCTGTGGGCAGTTTCCAAGGGTGCCTGAAAGGAAGTGGGCCATACTTTGGTCTACTGTGGGCTCCCTATTTGGGTTGAGTAGACATGTGTATAGCATTGCCTCCAGAAAAGCTCTGTCACCAACAGAAAGAAGAGAGACCTAGCCCTGGCTGCTTCCCCCATCCAGCTGGGCTCTCCCAGTCTTGCTCCTAAATGCAGTATCCAGAAGCTTCCCTTAAACCTTACACTTTCTGTTGTAACCCCAAGGCTCCTCTGACTGCTTACCACAGGCCCCTGGCCTGGCTCAGACTGGGGGCTTAGTCCTAATCATGGGCCCAGTAGGCCACTGGAGTGTGGCTGGGGCAGGGAGCCATGGGGCTGGAGCTGTGGTGTGGTACCCTGGCCTCAGAAGGCTCCTTGACTGCCACTGTGCAGTGGTTGCCACTTCAAAGAAGAATGCTTGTGTGTCACTGGTGTTCTCCTTCCTCTACAAGGTGGTGCAGGTAAGGCCCCAGTGGTGGGACTTCCCTCCTGGGGAGGGCTTTGGGGATTGTAACTTTGTATACCCAGGGATCCTGGGCCAGGAAGCCTCAGTCTTCTTGCAGGTGAGAGCCTCTGGCCTTCATTGATTGCATTCCCACCCTGGTCTAAAAGAAAGCTAACAAGATGGGGAGACATGGCTGTGCAACCATCTTGGCAGGAGGGTGAATAATGTGATCCAGGTCCTGTGCCTGGACAGTCTAAGGGGCTGGGATTGACCTTGGGGCCGTGTAGGAGAGTCTGATGGTAGCTAATGCATAGCTGTACCCAGGACACCTTTGGACTTAAAGCAACCTCTGGCTGCTGAGTCAGTCTGTTTGATGCTGGGCTGGTTTGTATTTCCACCGAGTGCCTCTGGAGGTCAGGAACCCTTTTCCCGGTCTCTCCTCCCTCCCTCCCTATTGGGTGGATGATTCTTAGCCAAGAGTAGGAGGTGGGGCAAGGGAACCCATTGTCTTTTTGGGAGAGCCTCTTGGTGGTTTCCTTCTGAGCAGGTCCATTGTGAACAGCCTGGCTTTGCCACCTCTAATTGGTGGAATATGATTGGGGTGCTGGGGCCCATTTTTCCCCAGAGCTTGCCTTTCCCACTGTGTGTTTCTGTGATAGTGTAAAGACCAGGTCCCTTCTTTAGCCTCCTAGCTACCCATTGAAATGGAGATGCTTGTCTGCAGCCAGACAGCCAACACCCTATGGGGATAGGCAGCAATCTCGAGGGAGAGGCAAGGATCACAGGCGCAGTTGGGATTGACCACAGAGGTCCTGGAGAGCCGAGGTGGGGTACAGAGCCACTCCTGGCCAATGCCTGTGGTCTGTAGTTCAGATCTTTGGGTTCAGGGCCTGTGCTATCACCCATGGGTACAATCACTCCAGCTGGGGTGGCCTGAGCTGGGCTGCGTCCTGCTCTACTGCCCAGGTCTTCTCCGAGTACTTTAAGGAGCTGGAGGAGGAGAGCATCCGAGACAACTTCGTGATCATCTATGAGCTGCTAGACGAGCTCATGGACTTCGGCTACCCACAGACCACCGACAGCAAGATCCTGCAGGAGTGAGTGCGCGTGTCCCCACAGACCCGCCCCAGCCAGCAGAGCAGCCAGCTTGTTGAAACAACCCCCAACTGTTGAGACAGGCTCTGATCCTCCTACCTCTGCCTCTGGAGTGCTGGGCTGACAAGAGTAGGCCATGTGTCCAGTTTACTAGGCACCAGACATGGGATTCCTAAATCTGTGTTTATTTGTGTAGTACTGGGATTCAAACCCACTGCTGAGCCAGGGGCTGGTCTTGGGTTTCTACTGAGTGCCTCTGGGGTCAGGACCCTTTCCCATGGGTATACCCTGTCTCTTCCACCAGCTTGAATGCAGTATCTTTAACCAGAGCCCTGCTTTTGCTGACTGTACTGAACTGGGGTTCTGGAATCCCACCTGCAGAGGCAGAAACAAGCAGGCCCCATGCTGCACTTTCCATCCCTCAGTGGGACCTGGGGTGCCAGCTCCTCACTTGACTGGGAGTCCAGGAAAAGCTGCCACTCCAATGTCCTGGCAGTACAGGACTCAGTCCCTCCAGGTGCCCACAGTGCTGACTACTTAATCCTCCATTCCCCACCCCCCACCAGTGCCTTGCCTCAGAAGTGAAGTGTATTCGGCCCACTTACTATAGCATGCATACTGTACCCCTCCTAGAACCTGCTGATGTGGGGCTTCAAATGGTTGGGCCTTGTCTTCTACCTAGTTCCATCCCAATGTCAGGGTGGAACATTGTGTGTCACCTCTATAACTGAGCAGTTTGGCCCCACAGGTACATCACTCAAGAAGGCCACAAGCTGGAAACGGGGGCTCCTCGGCCCCCAGCCACTGTCACCAATGCTGTGTCCTGGCGCTCAGAAGGCATCAAGTATCGGAAGAATGAAGTATTCCTGGACGTCATTGAGGCCGTTAACCTCTTGGTAGGCTGCCTTCCTCTTCCTTTCCTAACCTGCCATCTTTTCCAGGGTGGAAGTCAGGGATAAAACTGAAACCCAAAAGAGGGTATAGCCTGGGCCCTAACAGTAGATGGCAGGGCTCAGCCTCAGCCACCAGAGACAGCTCTCTCTGTACCAGCCTCACTCTCAGAATCTGTAGGGTCAGCATTGTGGTGTCTCTCAGGTAGGGGAACCTTAAGTTTCAGACCCTCCAGGGTCACATGTCTCAGAAAAACAGAAATAGAAGGGACAGCAAGAGAGATGGCTCAGCAGGTTAGGGGCTTCCCACAAGCCTGCCTTTCCGGGTGTCCTCCTGGTGGAAGAGAACTGACTCCTGCACTCTGTCCTGTGACTTCACATGTGGCACGCGTGTGCACACACACTAACAGTAAATAAATAAATACAATTTAATCTTTAAAAATACAAGGCTCAGGAGATGGCTTAGTGAGGCATGTTGCTGCACCTCAAGCCTCATGACCTAAGCTCCATCCCCAGAGACCCCATAAAAAGAGGTATCACCATAAACTTGTCCTCTGATCTCCATACAGACGCAGTGGCACCCCAGTATACGTCATGCACACTCATACAGAAATAACATTTTTAAGTTAAAAATAGGTACACACGCCGAGCTCTCGTGTACAGGCTTGAGGACCCGAGTTCAGACCTAACACTGGTGTGGACGCTGGGTGTGTGCTGTGCACTGCAGCCTCAGCACTGAGGGGTGGGCACTGGAGGGGCCACCCAGCCAACATGAGAACTCCAGCTCAGGGAGAGACCTTGCCTCAAACACAAGGTGGGAGACCACAGAGGGCCTGTGGGAAGTCCTTTTTCACCTGGTGAGCTGGAAGACTGCAGGCTTATAGCTGAGCCAGATGTGGTAGAGGCCACAGCTCACACGGCTTCCCCCCACCATCCCCAGGTCAGTGCCAATGGCAACGTGCTACGTAGTGAGATTGTGGGTTCCATCAAGATGCGGGTCTTCCTCTCAGGCATGCCTGAGTTACGCCTGGGCCTCAATGACAAGGTCCTCTTCGACAACACAGGCCGTGAGTACCTGAGGACAGCACTGAGACAGAGGCTGGCTCAGTCTTGCTCCAGGGAGGTGACTTCACTTGACCCCAAGTTAGAGCTGAGTGCATGCTTACTGGTGGGACAGCCAGCTGCTTTCAAGTACCAGGTTTAAGAACATTTCTTGGGTCTTTGAGATGGTTCCTCAGGTAAAGGGCATTGCTGCCAAGCCCCATGGCCTTACTGTGCCATCTGGAGCTCACATGGTAGAAGGAGAGAGCCAGTTCCTGCAAGTTGTCCTCTGACTGCCACACGTGCAGTGCAGCACACACCCCATACACAACAAACAGCAGCGCACACACCATACACAACGAACAGCATACACCCCATACACAACGAACAGCAGCACACACACCCCATACACAACAAACAGCAGCGCGCACACACACACCCATACACAGTGAACAGCACACACACCCATACACAACGTACAGCAGCACACACACCCCCATACACAATGAACAGCAGCACACACACACCCATATACAATGAACAGCAGCGCACACCCCATACACAGTGAACAGCACACACACCCATACACAACGAACAGCAGCGCACACCCATACACAACGAACAGGAGCGCACACACCATACACAACGAACAGCATACACCCCATAGACAACGAACAAGATGTCACAGAATCTCACATTACTGTAGCTCAGTAAGTAGTTGATGTTGACCTAGCAGGCCTGGGTTCAGTACCCACCAGCACCAAAAAAGACAGGGAGATCTGGCTGGTATGGTGGCATCTGCCTGTCGTTCCATCTCTCAGGACACTGAGGCAGGAAGATTCTGAGTTTGAGGCCATCCTGGGCTACAATATAAGACTGTGAGGAGGGTGGCAGAGAGCCAAGGTTCTGAGTACTTAGATGTCACCAGAGAGACCCGGAGCCTGGCCCTACCCTCTGTCCCCTCTCTTTGAGGCTGGGCTCTTTCCATGGTAGGCTTCTAGTGGTAGAGCATAGTACAGGTGGGCATGGCCAGGCTGCCGTGGCTCCTCACTGGCCCCTGACAGCCTCCTGGACTTGTTAGCCATACCTGGGCCCTTTGTAGTGGGTGAGTGGCACCCACAGCCACTTAGGAAATGCGCCCTGACCTGTTGCTGTCTGGCTGCTGAGAACTCGGCATGGCATATGCAGGGCAGCCAGGACGCTGTGCTAGCATCAGGCAGGCATGTGATGGAAGGAGGCGACAGGAAGCTGTCTGTGAACTGGCTTCTTGTGGATATCTTTTGGGCATGGGCAGGGACTCGTAACTCCTGCCAGCCTCACCCCTACCCTGCATAGGAGGGAAGAGCAAGTCAGTGGAGCTGGAGGATGTGAAGTTCCACCAGTGTGTGCGGCTGTCACGTTTTGAGAATGACCGCACCATCTCCTTCATCCCACCTGACGGAGAGTTTGAACTCATGTCCTACCGCCTCAACACCCACGTGAGTGTAGCAAGTTCCCAGGCAAGTTCAACACCAATCCTCCCACACCCTGTGGGTACCTGTCTCTCAGCCCCCTAAGTGGGCAGAAACCTTGACCACCACTGGCTCCACCATGGTCATCACCCTCTGCCAGCATACACACTGGTCTCCTCCTGGAAGAATGGGGCCTTGTCTGGTCTCTGCTTTCCCTCAGTAGCATGAGACATGGTGAGATGCCAGCAGGTGTGAGTGCCTTCTCCGCACCCACAGGTGAAGCCTTTGATCTGGATTGAGTCCGTGATTGAGAAGCATTCCCACAGCCGAATCGAGTACATGGTCAAGGTTGGTGAGAGAGTGGGCACCTTGAAGGCCTAAGTCAGGCGTGGGCAGTGCCTGGAAAAGTCAGAGTCTTTGGTGGATAATGGGAGCCACTGCCAGGCAGGGACTGTGTGGCCCTGGCAAGGTGGCTGGGGGTGGCCAGACTCCCTTCCATGCATCATCCAGAGCCTCTGCCTTGGGCCTCCTTGCAGGCCAAGAGCCAGTTCAAGCGGCGCTCAACAGCCAACAATGTAGAGATCCATATACCAGTCCCCAACGACGCCGATTCACCCAAGTTCAAGACTACAGTGGGGAGTGTCAAGTGGGTCCCCGAGAACAGTGAGATCGTGTGGTCCATCAAGTCCTTCCCGGTGAGCCTCATGTTCTCCAGGTACCCCTAAATATCTCCCTGAGACCTATCCCTGTGCAACCTTGGGGAAGGTGTTTCATTGCAGAGAGGGGCAGTCCTGCTGAGTGCCATCCTGGTTCCAGGAACACAGGTGCTGTCCCTCTCTGCACCCTACAGGACTGGGGGAGGGCTGGCCACAGATCCATCCCAGGAGAGCTTTCCCTGGGTGCTGCAGCACAGCCACAGTGTGCAGGAGTCCCTGGTGCACCTCCGCCCTCACCTTGTCCTCACCAGAGAGAAAACAGTGAGAGCCAGGACTGCCTTCTTCTTTCTACCCTTTCTGTGTACTGAGATGATCCCAGGGCAGCCCAAGCATGGTAGACTCTCCTACTGTGCACCCTGGCTTAAGGACCTCGCATGGAGTTGGGGAGTATAGGTGGGAAGGATGGCCAAACTCAGGGTAGACACTGCCTGGCCCCAGTGACCACTATTGGGTTTTCCACGTTTTGGCTCAGTGACAAAGCTCATCAGTGTCCTGCATGTTGCTGCAGTCCTTTTTAAGGCCAGGTAACACTCCACGTCATGTTCCTTCCTTCTTCACTGACAGGCACTCTTGGTGCGCCCCAGCTCTGCTGCAGTGGATGTGGGTGCACAGGGCTCTCCCCCATGCCCTGCTGCTGTCCTCAGACACACACCCACAGGAGAGTCTCGGAAGAGTTGGCCAAACATAGTTAGAATTGTTTGAGGCTCTGCCTTGGTGTTTTGTGTGTTGTTACAATTGTCTGAGGCTCTGCCTTGGTGTTTGTGTGTTGTTACAATTGTCTGAGGCTCTGCCTTGGTGTTTTGTGTGTTGTTACAATTGTCTGAGGCTCTGCCTTGGTGTTTTGTGTAGCAGTGGCACGGTATCATTCCTGCCAGAGGTGCTTAAGGGTTCTGGCTTCTTGTCCATCATGTTTTTGTTTTTGTCTTTGAGGTTGGGTCTTACTATGTAGCACTGGCTGACCTGAGCACACTGTGTAGACCAGGTTAGCCTCAAACTCATGGAGATGTACCTGCCTCTGCCTCCCTGGTGCTGTGGTCAGAGGTGTGCCCCGTCTCCATCCTCATGTCCCCTTGGTCTTCGATTTGTGACTGTGCAAGTGTGGCCGCTGACCCCGCCCCAGCCCAGTCGCCCTCCCTCCTTCGAGGTCAGTCCACTCACTGGTAGTTTTTACATCAGTGTCGATGCAGATAAACATTTCTGTCAGCTCCACTCAAAGTCTGTACCCACAAAACCTACCGTGTAACATGCAACGCCATTTTCTACAACTTGTGTTTTCATATAGAAGTTGTTTTGTGTTTTTTACAGGGGCTTTGTTTGAAACAGGGTCTCCCTGGATAGTCTCAGTGGTCTGCAACTCATTCTGTAGCACAGAGTGACCTCAAACTCTTGCACTCCAGACTGGTCTTGAACTTGCCACCATCCTCCTGCCTCTGTGTCCTGAATGCTGAGACTGCTAGGCCTTGCTTACTCCTGTGTTCCTGTGGGCAGGTCCTTCCTCTCTATTTCCCCCTTACATTGTTGCTAGGTTCCAGGAGTCACAAGGCTGTTTGCTCCAGCTCCCACGCAGGTGTCATGGTGTCCTTTGTGGCTGGGAACTGCTGCCAGGAAGCTAGGCTGTGGAGCCTAGCAGGAGCCGAGGCTCTGTCCTGCTGTACCCCAGCTCCTAAGCAGGGTCCTAGTCACAACCACTCCTGCTGCCTCTAAGTGTGAGCGCAGGAAGCCAAACGCCATGTTGTTCCAGGTATAGCTAGAGCTAGGGTGCCAGACAGAGGGGACAGCCAAGCCCAGGCCTGATGCTCTACAAGGCCAGAGCAGGGCAAGGGTCTCGGCTAGTCCTGACTGGCCCCACTCTCAAACCACCTCCGAGTTATTGCTGGGCTCTGTGCCATTATGGGAATCTGCTATTGGCTGTGGGTTGGCCAGCTGCCTAACTGCCTCCTGCATTGGCCCCCAGGGTGGCAAGGAGTACCTGATGCGGGCCCACTTTGGCCTTCCCAGTGTGGAAGCCGAAGACAAGGAGGGCAAGCCTCCCATCAGTGTCAAGTTTGAGATCCCCTATTTCACTACCTCTGGCATCCAGGTATGAGTGTGTTGGGGCTGGCTACCTGAACCCCACACTTGAGCCCAGAGTCACAGCAGAACCTCCCAAACCCCATCCAGGCATAGGGCCTATTTCCTTGGGACCCCTCAGACTTTGTGGATGAGGGGAACATACTGTTCCCCTGAAAGGCTCAAGGTCACCAAGCCTGGGTCTTGGCTGCTTCATGCTATGCCAGGCCTGCCCCCTTGCCCTTGCCCCTTGGATGAAGGGTGCTGGTGGGGGTGCACACTCAAGGCCCTTGTGTCCAGGTGCGCTACCTGAAAATCATTGAGAAGAGCGGGTACCAGGCCCTGCCCTGGGTACGCTATATCACACAGAATGGAGGTGAGTAGCCACCTGGCTGGCAGGACCTACAGAGGTCCTTCTAGGCTGTGGCTTCCTACATGGAGCTGAGAGTGGGTGTCCCCTTTGTCTGTGTGGAGCTGATTGTGGGTGCCCTGGGAGTCTGTGTGGAGCTGAGGGTGGGTACCCTGGGAGTCCATGTGGAGCTGAGGGTGGGTGCCCTGGGACCTGTGTGGAGCTGAGGGTGGGTGCCCCATGTTTCTAGATTACCAGCTCCGGACCCAGTGAGAGGCCTCTGCAGCCAGCCCAGCCCACCCAGCCTCAGGGCACACCTGCCACACTCACCAAAACCGAAGCTGAAGGGTGGGCCTGGACACACAGCCACCCTCCTCCCAAGCCTGAGAGGACTCACACAGAACCCCTTCCCCAGTCCCATTCTGATCCAGGGTGGGAAGGAAGGGCCTGCCAGCCTCCCCCAGGGACAAGCCAGCTGGAGCTGAGCTCCTGGTGCCTCATGACTGGCCACCCACCACCCTGTAGACACCATCCCTGCCCACCACCGGAGCCTCCTTCTGTTGCCATTTTGCTGAGCATGTTAGTCATTGTCATTGTCATCTGTGGCTGTCCCTCACCTTTCTTCAAGTGTCCTGTGCAGCTGCCATGCTGCACTTCATGAGAGCAGCTGTCCCCTATCCACACTGGTCTGTGTGCAGGATAGTTGCTGTGCCTGGGCCAGCTGTGCCTCCCTTGCCAGCCCTTGACCACATCAGTGTTTTCCTGGAAGGGAACATGGCCTCAGCCTTTGCCCCAAAGTTCCTGGGCAGGCCAGGCTACCCTCACTGTACAAGGCCTCGTCCTCCACCATGTGTGTGTGACAGTTACATTAAAGTCCATTTGTTACATCTGCTGCCTGTTTTCTCTCTGTGCTGTGGTTCAGGCTCCACACAGGGACCCTATATGACTTCCTTTGTAGTAAAGCAGACCTAGCAGTGACGGGACCACACGTCCCTTCCCTGGGTAGCAGGAGTGCCTTTCCACGGGACACTGGATAGAATATCCTCTCAGGGTCTCTGGCTTGCCTGTCATGCCTGTGCATAATGCCATCCTCTGGTGGCCCGAAACCGTAGACTCCCACATGCCCACCTGTCCAGGTGTAGGCTGGGCCTCCAAACTGGTGACAGCTCCTGTGGGCTTGGAAGTCCTGAGTCAGCATGGGCTGTCTGAGCTCTGACCCTCAGGACCGTCTCACTGTGTGACCTCTGCTCTCCTGCCTTGTTACCACACAGTATGTATGCTGTTCAGTACATACCTCCCTTCCATAGCCAAGGACAACCTTCCCAGCACAGGGCCTCGAACAGAGCCTGCCAACACCCTAGAGCCTCTCAGTCCTGCCTTACTCACCAGTGCTCACAAGGGCTGCCAGTCCAGACTGCATGCTACCACCCGTCACTCCACAGGTCTGCAGCAGGCTATGGCTGCTGAGTTTGAGAACTTGACTTCAATCCTTAGGACCCACATGCTGCATAGAGAGAATCAACTCCCAAAAGTTGCCCTCTGAACTCCATTTGAGCTAGGCACACACACTTATAAAGAAACTAAGTCTGGGCTAGAGAGATGGCTCAGCGGTTAAGAGCACTGACTGCTCTTCCAGAGGTCCTGAGTTCAAATCCCAGCAACCACATGGTGGCTCACAACCATCCTTAATGAGATTGGATGCCCTCTTCTGGTGTGTCTGAAGACAGCTACAGCATATTCAAATAAAATTAAATAAATAAATAAGATTCCTTCATACGTTAAAAAAAAAAATGCTGTTTAAAAAAAAAGGAACTAAGTCAGGTGTGGTGGTCTGTGCCTGGCACTCCAGCACTTCAGAGGGTGAAGCAAGAGGATCATAATACCCTGTCTCAGGAAATAAGAAGTGGGTGCAGGGCTGGAGGGATGGCTCAGCCGTTAAGAGCACTGGCTGTTCTTGCAGAGGATCAGGGTTTTATTCCCAGCATCTATATGGAGACTACGATCTGTAAGTCCAGTTCCAGGGAACCCGGCGCCCTCTTCTGGCCCCTGAGGGTGCAGTGTGCACTTGGCACACATCCATATATACAGGCAAAACATCCATGTCTATAAAAATAGAGATTAAAGATTTATTACTTATGTGTTTATTTGTGAGTGTGCTAGGTACATATGTATGTGGATTTCCCAGAGAGGCCAGAAGAGGGTGTTGGATGGCCCAGGCAACTAGAGTTACAGGGGTGTGAGCCAAAATGGGTTCTGAGAACCAAACTCGGGTCCACTGTGAGAACAGAATATGCTCTTAACTACTGAGCTGGCTCCCCAACCCCATAAAAATAAATCTTTTTTAAAAAGTTGGCATCTGCGGGGAGTGGTGGTGTGTGACTTTAATTTTTTCAAGATCTGTTATTAATGACAGTTCCTAAACACTTTAACCTCCCTTTTTGCCCACCACTTACCAGAGGTAAAGGAAAAGAAAGGATACAGGGAAAGTAGACCTGTTTAGAAATGGTTCTTTGAGCTGGGCAGTGGTGGCACACGCCTTTAATCCCAGCACTTGGGAGGCAGAGGCAGGCAGATTTCTGAGTTTGAGGCCAGCCTGGTCTACAGAGTGAGTTCCAGGACAGCTCGGGCTACACAGAGAAACCCTGTCTTGAAAAAAGAAAGAAAGAAAGAAAGAAAGAAAGAAAGAAAGAAAGAAAGAAAGAAAGAAAGAAAGAAAGAAAGAAATGGTTCTTTGTAGCAACTCCCATCTGTGTTGTCTGGAAATCAGCAGTTCAGTTCACAGGTTAGCAGTGGCAGCTCGATCCACTCACAAACACTTCACAGATACAGCAGCCGTCCATTCAGTAGTCAGGATAGCAAACATGAATCAGTACTGGTGGCACTACCTAACGGAGACAACCAGGCCTCAGCCTCTGCATGAGTCAGCAGGAGGGGCCAGGAAGGACAGCAGGAGAAGTTCTCAGCTGTGCCTCTCTCAGTGAAGTGAAGATCAGCGAAGACAAGAGACCAACAAGCATTGCACAGGAAGCTCTACCAGCAAGCCAAGGCCCAGCCTCCATCACTGTCATGGAATCCTATTTAGATTCCCTTCAGACATCTTGTGTCCTCCATGGGTCTTGCCTCAGCACATCCATCTATCTCAGCTGACATCAGACTGTGGAAACAGCACGAACCCCACCACCAGAAGGTTTTGGTTTGGTTTTGTGTGTGTGTGTGTTTCTCTCTGTGGAGTCCCAACAAATGGAGCTCAGCTACACAGTGTAAGGCAGTGCTTGTAGTTAGCAAAGAATCCTTCATCACGTGTCCTTTCACCTGTGCCTGCTTCAGCCAAAAGTTCCTTCATGTGTCTGCCTTCGCAAAACACCATCCAACACAAATGACTTTCTGAAGAACCCTTAAGTTTCCACTTCAGTGGCGCACATTTTTGATCCCAGTATGCAGGAGACAGAGACATGTGGATCTCTGTGAGTTCAAGATCAGCCTGGTCTGTAAAGTGAATTCCAGAACAGCCAAGGCTACACAGAGAAACCCTGTCTCAACCCCCCCCCACACACACACACAATATCTGTCATGCATTAGACTTTGGACTCTGTCCCCACACTGCTATAAAACAAGTTCTCAGTGGAGGAAGTTTGCCCCATTTTTCCCTCCTAAGATGACATGAGAGGGTACCAGAAAACATGACAGGGTCCAGAACTGCAAAGTGTTCTTTAGGTTGTTTTGAGACAGTGTCACTCTACATACCCTGGCTGTCCTGGAGCCCACTGTGAAGACCAGACTGGCCTTGAACTTATTAAGCAATACTGCTTCTGCCTCCTGATGAGGGGACTAAAGTGTGGGCCACCGCTAGGCTCATTGTCTGGTTTGAAGTTTTTCTTTCATTTATTTGGTGCAAACGTCAGAGGACAGGTAGCAGGAGTCAGCCTCTCCTTCTACCATGTGAGTCCTGGGAATTGGACTCAGGTAGGCAGTCTGGGTAACACCTTTACCCACTGTGCCATCTCGCTGGCCATTTAAAAAAATTATTGCATTTATTTATTCACTTATCTTTACAGTTATACTTTGGTAAAACACAAAATGAGAAAAAATGCTAACGGCATGGGGTTGGGGGATTCTTTAAGGCAGTCAGAGAGAGAAAAAAAAAACATGACCTTCAAAACTCAGACAGATAGGCTTTTCAAAGTGGGAGAGAGCTGAGTGACATTTCCAGCCAACTTAGGGAAAACTCCTGCTCCAGTTATACACTTAAGTGTCCCCAGATAGACAGCCTCCTGTGGCAGGCAGCTGCCCAGCATGCACAGGGCTCTCTGGGCTGCAGCTTCAACCCTATAAAAGTAAAAACCATGGCTGGTGTCCAGGTGCATAGACACCATAACTGCCCCCCCCCAAAAAACCACAAAATGAGCACATTTGGCATGACCTAAGGCCACTAAGATTGTAATTGCAGTCATCTTCCTCTCTTAACAGCTGATCATGCCCCCCAGTGTCCCTGGAGGAAAAGCCTTATTCCCTCAGGGCGGGCTGCCTGTCCCCACACTGCCCCCACCCTGCACTTCTTGACTTGCATTACAGAAATCCTGCGTAACCTTCCCTGTCCTCCAGCTTGTTTCTCACACACAGCTGTTCCTGATTCCACAGATGCCTGTGTCCCCAAGGCCTGTCTACCTGCCCAGGAGTTGTCACTGCTCTGACCCCAGGGAGAAAGGCATATCTTTGGGAAGTGCAGACTTGTCCTTGGCACGCTTCTAACTATGACCACTAGAGGGCACACTTGGGTTAGAAATAGCTGTCTGTAACAGAGACGGAGACAGGACAAGCTGGGGAACCAAGGCCTACAGACCTGGGTAATTTGTCCTTGTTTTATGTTTTGTCTGCAACCATGTATGTGCACCACATGCGAGCCTACAAATGGTTGTGTGAACCAAACCCCATTCCCTGCAAGAACATCCAATCCTCTTAACTACTGACTCCCCTTTTAGGTCTTTGTTAATTTTGAGGGAGGGTTTCATGAAGCTAGCCTAGGTTAGACTCACACTTTTTATATAGCCAAGAATGACCTTGAACCAGGGTCCTCTTACATCCACCTCGAAAGCACTGGAGTGGTGGAGTCACAGGTGTGCGCCACTGTACCCAGTTTATCCATATTGCCAGTTTACCATGCAGACCAGGCAAGTGAGTTATAGCCCGGCCTACAAGGTACATGTGGTACCAAGCCACATTTATGTTTTTAAATAGAAATTCAGGTACCATGTAGCTGATAATTTTAATTATTTGGGGCAGTGGTTCTCAACCCTCCTAAGACTGTGACCCTTTAATACAGTCCGTCATGATCTGGTAACCCCAACTTTTCATTGCTTCTTCATAACTGTATTTTTGCTACTGTTATGAATCATAATATAATATTTTTGGAGATGGAGGTTAGCCAAAAAGGTTGGAACTGACAGGCTGAGAACCACTGATGTAGGACACGCTCTCAGTGTGGTCATCACTTCACCTCCTTTGAGGCTCACTCTGAGGACTCCCTGCCTCTGCTCCTGGCTGCAGGACTGTCAGGATTAGAGAAGGTTCTGCTGGTCCTTGGGTCCTGGGGATTCAGGCTCTGGTTGTCTCTCCAGCACGGCAAGCATTTTAGTTACTGAACAGTCTCTCAGGCTCACGGATTGTCTTCGAAAGGAATAATTCAGTGGCATTCAAAACAGTGGCTATACTGTGCAGCCTCTCTTCCTACTCAGCCTCCATCAGCCCTAGGCTGTCCTCCACGTGCTTCCCTTGCCCCCTGCAAGCTACTGAACTGCTCCGGTCTGTATGGACTGGCCTGGTCTCAACACCTCATGTCAATGAGATCACAGACTCTAGGCGCTCCCAGATCTGGCTGGTGTTCCATTCTCACTG